GTTGGGAAAGCGCTAACATCGATTTTATCTGTTTCCGAACAAAGGAGTTAATCACTGACACCGGAAATCGCGACCAGGTATTCCTTGCGACTCCCCAAGGTTTGTTTTCCAATTTGTCTTGGCCGCTGCCGATCACTTCTTGCGTAAAAACTTACAAAACCTGTGAAGTGGAGCTAGAGTGGCTGCTGTTGCTGGCCGATATTATCCGTCGGCAAAACGTAGAAGTCAGAAGTTAACACTAAACGCCCTTATGTATCTGAATAAATTCCTTGTTGTCCTAGCTCGCTGAAGTGCCGTATAAAATCAGATAATGTGAAAAGAAATTGAGAAAGACATCAAACCCCAAGAGAGAGGCAGACACATAAGATTTATCATGGTAGTGTTACCTTTGGAGAAAAATTAAGTAACACAAAAGCTTGTAATATTAATAACAATAATAATGATGATTAAAAAGATTTAGAAAGAGTAAGATGGTCTTAATGAGTTAGCTGCTTTCACGGTTAACAGCTAATATTTTAGCCAACTGACGGCCAACACCATTCCCTCGTTGTCAACAGAAACTTATTTTCGTTTATTTTCTTTTAACGACTAATGGTTAGAACTCGTGAATTCTAAAGCCAAACGGTTGAATATTTCGGCCATTTTACGGTCAAAGGTAAACCCCATTGAGACCCCTACTGTAAACCTTTCAGTTACTTAACTGTTATCAAAGTGGGCCTTATTAAAAACATATATTTCTTATTCAGTTAAGTCGCATTATGAACAAATCTAGACTAGTTTCTATTACACATTTTGATCTTATGTTGGAGGATTTTTTCCAAGACTGATAAAAGTTCATTGTATTGTTGTTGAAGTGTGCGGTCAAATCCTCGTGAGTGTTGTGTTAAGTTTTGGTTGTGATTGTTCGTCAATACATTTAAATCACCGTTAACAGTCATTCTCCCCGTTAGTCCGTGATTCTCTTGTCATTCAATACTAGTAAAATAGTCCCGACTGCTCGTTAAGAACACGGCTAAAGTAAAGCCTTACCTCGATTTACTTTTAGTTACTGCAAGCGCTACAGGCAGGATGTTACAGTTGTATAAGTTAAATGAACTCGTTTATAGCTTTCAAATACTTTTGATAAGATCCGACTCTCCAATTATACAGTATTCAAGTGATTATTCCAGTGCATTACTCAATTATTAAAATTGATCAGCTCTCACATCACTAACGACTTCCATTACAGACGTAAACTGCTGTTTTGAGAGAGGTTGACGGAAAAAAGACAAAAGTGCTCGTGACGATCTCCAAAGTTAATATTGGTATCTGATAATCAATGGGAAAAATAAATCAAATCGTTCAACCCGCCTTTTCATTATAGTGACGTTTTCTTAGAATTCACAGAGATCCTGAGGTCAGGGAACCGTCACCTCAGAACTACCCACAATACGATTCGGAGTTGTCACGTAAACCTATACACTTTCTCCTACAAGCTTTCCTGAAACAGTTGTGTATACTCCTCATTGTACTTCATCCTAGCAATTCCATGAGAAAAAGATAACATTATTTTTTCCCCATTCAAGAGGAATGAATAGTTTGTTGTTGACTCACCGTTAGGTACGTGACTCAGCAGTTAGTCAAGAACATCTGAGTCACGTGATGAGGCAAGATATAAAGAATCATGGCCGTTAATATCCTTAGTCAAAGGATTGGCTCCCCTCTCAAGGAGCTGCTTTACAATTTGTAGATTTCTATGACGCACAGCAATGATTAGGGGAGTAGCACCGTCAGCGTTTTTTGACCCAATGTCCGACACGTGAGGAAGGATAAGATCAATTATGTGGGGGTCACCACAATGTGCAGCAAAATGTAACGAACTCCATCCTTCGTTGTCCATCAGGGACGGATCTGCTCCTCTCTTAATCAGACCCTTCACTGCTTGAACGTAGCCATTCGGAGCAGCATTCATTAGCGGCGTTGTGCCAGTTGCGTCTTTGGTGTCAACAGAAATTTCTAAAATGAATTGATATGAAAAGAAATTAAGACAGGTAACATCATCGAAGAAGGAGATCGAGGTGGGAGAGAACCTTTTGAAAAAAACATTTAAACTCGTGGGCAGCACTAAGCGAACAGTAGTTGTAAAACTTCTTTATCCTCCGACGCGTTTCGTCTGAACTGTCGTAGACTTCTGAGGACTTTTACAAGTTTACATAACGCCTGTATGTAACTGATTTAATGCCTTGTTGTCTTCGCCACAGAAGTACCATCTAAATCAGATAATGTGAAAAGAAATTAAGAAAGGCATCAAACTCCAAGAGGGAGGCAGAGACATCAGATTTATTATGGAACTAGTAACTTTAGAGGAAAATTAAGTGACAACAAAGCTTGTAATATTAATAACAATAATATTAAAAATGAAAATGATTCAGAACCAGTAAGAGGATCTTAATGGGGTAACTGCTTTTACGGCTAACGGTTAACATTTTAGCCAACTGGCGGCCAACACCATTCCATCGTTGTCAACAGAAACTTTTTTTGCATTTATTTTTTTATGACTAACAGTTAGAATTTCTCAATTCTAAAGCCTAACGATGAAATATTTCGGCCATTTCAGGGTTAATGGTTAACCCTGTTGAGACCCTAGAGTAAACGTCTCAGTTACGTAACTGTTATCAAAGTGGGCCTTGTTAAAACATATATTTCTTATTTAGTTGAGTCGCATTATCGAAAAATCCAGATAAGTTTGTATTATACATTTTGATCTTAATGTTGGCGAATTTTTTCCAAGACTGATTGAGCTTCGTTATATTGTTTTTTAAGTGTGTGGTGCCTCCAAAACGCAGACCGCAGGCCACAGACCTCGAAAACCAAGACCTCGAAAACGCAGACTTCGAAAAGTCTGTTTTCGATATTTCGAAGAGAACCGTGCTTGGGAAGCGACTTTTTTCTCGGCAAGGGTGAATCAAATCTAAAGATCGTAGCAAAGGAGACGAAGATGTTCCAAAATCTGCGGCCTCTAATGAAGGTTGCTATTTGTCCTAAACCGGTTCCTATAATGATGGAATACGATTGTTCTGATTTCCTGCCACTCGGTCTTGATATTCAGGTTTCAGATCTCCTCGAATTTTTGCACCTCCTCGACAGAATACAAGCAGGCGAAGCCTTTCAACATTTTTTACCAGTTTTTCCCACGACAGCAATTGCTATCGCCGCGGGACTTGAATTTTTGCGTTCAAGGAATGTGGTACACCCCGTCCTTAAACCAGGAAATTTCTGTTTGAGGAGCCATATATGGTTTTGTCCCGCGCTCAACGTTAGACGTCTGGGCGTAAATTATCGAAGTAAGTATTATTGAAGTAACCGAGACCGACTTTCACCAAAATTTGTTAGTTTGCAGACCACTGGCTCAACATGAAACAAATCTTTAAATTGAACTTTGTCGACTTCCGGTCGCTGGTAATGCCCGTTATTGACCAAGTCTCCCGCTGAAAAATTGCTTCATAACCACGGTTCTCTTTGAAATGTCGAAAAAAAATTTTTCGAGGTCTGCGTTTTCGAGGTCTTTGTTTTCGAGACACCCTTTAAGTGTGTGGTCAAATCTTGGACGATGTTAATTAAGTCAAGTTTTGGTTTTCATTGTTCGTCAATACATTTATATCACCGTTAACAAGTACTCACTCTCACCGGTAATCCCTGATTCTCTTGTCATTCAATACTAGTAAAATAGTCCCAACTGCGCATTAGCAACACGGCTAAAGCAAAGCCTTGCCTCGATTGTTTTTAGTTGCTACATGCGCTACAGGCAGGACATTTCAGTCGCACAAGTTAAATGAACTTGTTTATAACTTTCAAATACTTTCTATGAGATCTGACTCACCAATTTTCAGTATTCAAGTGATTATTCCAGTGCATTACTCAAGCATTCAAATTGATCAGCTCTCACATCACTAATGCACTTCCACTATAGACGTAAACAGCTGTTTTGAGAGGGGTTGTTGCAAAAAAGGACAAAAGAGCTCGCGACGATCTCGAAAGGTAATATTGGTGTCTGGTAATAAATGGATTTAAATGAGAAAAATGAATGAAATTGTTGAACCCGCCTCGTCACTATAGACCCATTTTCTCAGAATTCACAGAAATCCTGAGGCCAAGGAAACGTCACCTGAGAACTACCAACAGTACGACTCGGAGTTTTCACGTAAATCTATACGCTTTTTTTCAACAACCTTTCTTGAAACAGCTGTATATACTCCTCATTGTAGTTCACCCTAACAACTCCAGAAGACAAAATAAGGTTATTTTTCCCCACATAAGCCGAATGAATAGTGTTGTTGACTCACCGTTGGGTACATGACTCAGCACTAAGTCAAGAAAATCTGAGCAACGTGATGAGGCACGATATAAAGAATCCTGGCCGTCATTATTCTTAGCCAAAGGATTGGCTCCCCTCTCAAGGAGATACTTTACACCCTGGACCCCGCTATGACAAACAGCAGTCATTAGAGGAGTAACACCATGGGTGGTTTTTGACTCAATGTCCGGCACGTGAGTAAGGATAAGATGAATGGTATCAGTGTCGCCACACCGTGCAGCATAATGCAACGAACTCCATCTGTCGTTGTCCTTCAGGGACGGATCTGCTCCTCTGTTAATCAGACCCTTCACCGCTTGAACGTTGCCATTTCGAGCAGCAATCATGAGGGGCGTTGTGCCTGTTGCGTCTTTGGAGTCAACGGAAAATCCTAACAGCAACAATGATACTAATAATGAAAAAGATTTAGAACGAGTAAGAGGGTCTTAATGGGATGACTCCTTTTACGCCTAACGGTTAACATCTTAGTCAAATGACGGCCGACACTATTCTATCGTTGTCAACAGACCTTTTTTCTTCGTTTAACATTTCCTTCGACTAACGGTTAGAACTCGTCAATACTAAAGCCTCAGTAACGGTTGAATGTTTCGGCCATTTTACGATCACT